ATTTTAATTTACCAACATTATTATTATCTTTATAATAAAAGCAACATAAGTGAGAAAAACACTCTTAAACTTGATAAATAAAATGTGTTAAATTAAATTAAATTACAAAGTGTGTGCAATAGTAAAGATAGATCAACATCCGTAAGGTGCAAATAATAATCTCTGTGAACAAAACAAATTATGATAATCACATCTGAGCTTTCAAGCAAAGGAACCAACCATCATTATTCAAATACATTCTGCAACATTACAAATTGTAAAGTTGGATGACTAATTACCCCCTATGCTAAAAGCTCTTTCAAATGGGGAGCTAGTGGCTGGGATGCACAAGAAAAGAAACCAAAAAGCCACTCTGGCGATATCCTCACATCTTTTTTATCATCGTCACATGTGTGCGTCGTTCCAGTGTGTGCATCATGTAAATTGCATGCCTCCATTGAAAATGACAATCTTATTGACATTCCTTCCAAGGCGCAAGCTCATCAATGGTGTTCGGTCAAAAAATACAGATTATTTTTTATTTTATTGCCCAGCCCTACTAGAGACAATTTTGGTCTATTCTATTATCTTCTATGTTAATACCATAACATTGATTTATCATACAGCAGCATGGCAAACCTTTACGTAAATGACAGTGCCAGAGTACAATTAGGTCAGCAGTGTATTTGGTCATTTCTATTATCATCTGTCCAACTTAAGGCCTATTTAAGCAGACGCATATTCTGTGTTCAGATAGCCATTCATTCATTGATTCATTCATTCATCCATTTCCTTTGCCAAATTTGGTTTTGCAATGGACACTGTTCTTTTTGTACCATTTTGTTGCACAATTTGCAAATTGCCTTGTCCGTATTTACCGCCTCCTCCTTCTTGTTCAGTCAAAACCTGAAATACTGCCAAACTGCAGAAGTTGTGTTCTTTTTCAAGACCAGGTCACTTGGTGCGCGACTCGCCATCTTTCCGCACCTCTCTCTTTCCCCTACACACTGTCCCATGATGACAACCACGCATACGCATTTTTAGGCATTAAATAAATTATATTTAATATTCAATCCTTGTTTTATATACATTATAAGTGCATTGTTTTTCATGACGGTATAACGGGATTGAAACTGATACGTTGCTATTTTAAGACATACCATATTACCGTATTACCGCCCAAGCCTACGGACAACTATTCTGGCATATGTTTTATGCAGTGGATGCCTCTCCAGCCGTTAAAACATTTACACTTTACCACATGCATGTGTCTTCACAAAAGAGGATTATAAAAGAAAGAATATAAATCTGATCTTCCATTCCCACGCTTTATGCAAATTCACATCACCAAAAGCAACAAATATATGCTGCATTTTTTATTCAGCTGATTTCAAGATCAAAGAGCTCAACAGGTGAGAGAGTGTCATTACCGGTGAGTGATGATTGGTGTGTTGAATTTCAAGATCTGATGTCGAACATTTGAGTTTTATTTAAATTTCTGCCTGCTGAAGAGAGATGTGCATCTCCAGCAGGTCATATCTGTAGAGGAGTGTGTTGCAAGAGTGCCAGTAGCTAAAACATGCTTTCACACCTTTATTTTAAATTTTTTAAATTGAAGAAACATTTACATATGTGACTTTGACAACCAGATGCATTTACAGCAGTCCAACTGCGTCTGGAATGTGTCTCAAAAGAACTCCTGATGTCTTATGTGTTGTCAGGTTGCACTGTGTCAGATGTGTTTCAGAGGACTTTTACAATTGACTATTGATTCACTGTACAAAGAAAATGCGTGAAGTTTAAAAAGACCCTCATTCAATCAATAAAAGCCAGGTCATGCAAGTCTTCTTGGATAGTAGCCACTAGTGTAGTTCATCATATCATTTTTAAACAAAAAATGTGAGTATGACTGTGCAATCCTGTCTAAAATGAGAATCACAATTATTTTTTGCTTAGAATAAAGTTCTCGATTTTCTCATGATTCTAAAGATGTTAAATAAAGGTTAATATGAGTAGGTTATTATTGTTAGTTTTTTTTTTTTCAAACATATGGTAAAAAAAAATAATAACAATATTAGGCGGGTTAAAAAGCATGAAATGGTGAACTTGACTAGTCTTTGAATTCGTCCTGGTTGTTAATGCTTAGTAAAGTGACCAGAACACAACTATTGATAATTCTGAAGTTGAATTATTATGTTTGAGACATATGCTTGCAGTCTGTCCATAGGTACGTTTCCATCCACCTATTTTGGATATGCGCATAAGAACAAATGCGCATAACTGAGTAAGATAAACTTTTTATTCCATAAGAAAAGATGCGCATAAAATATAATAGAAACATTTTTACTGAACAAATTCCAGTATGCGCATTAAAAAACGATCATGTGATTTTGTTGTAAGAAATAATGTGATGACAAAAATGTGTGTGAATGGACAAACCAGCAGGCTGAGCACATTGTAGAACATCTGAAATGTTGTTTTGGTTATTCTAAAATGCTTTAAACGTTTCAGTATTAGTGTT